TAGCAGCTCCCGTGGAGGTGAATGTTCTCCAGCGATGAAGGAGGAGCCCAACTTCGTGCTTTTTAAGAGCAAAATGTGGGTGTTGAGGAGAAGGTGCCCTGCCTGCTGCCAGGCAGGATTGCCCTGTGTTTAAATGACTGAAGGTAGCAGCACTTTCCTGAGGTTTTTCTTTGATAGGAAGGTTCCTCTGCTGCAGGTACTGAAGAAAATGTTCCCACTCGGGGTGAAATGACCAGTATAACCAGTTGCTTTTTGCCCCCTCATCCCCAGTGAGGCATTTACTTCAGTGTAGCTGTTCTGAAACTGAGTTGTGGGGCTGCTTCATCCTAATGTGACTGAAAGTGAGAAGGATGTAATGAAGTTGGAGGTTTTTATTTAATATCTAGAATACATCACCCTGAAACTCCAGGGCTGGAACATCCCATGTGCAATTGTCTGTAGTTTGAAACTAAAAAATCACTTTAAAAAAGCCTTTCCAGGGCTTATAAATGAAAGCAAAACTAATGAGGTGAAACAGGTTTCTTGCTGCTGTCTGGGGGCGAAAACCTTGCTCAGCAGATGACTTTTGTAGTGTCCTCAAACCATAGGGATTGTCAGGATACTTTCTAGGAAAGAAAGCTGAACCCCCAGTAGGTGCAGCCTGCAGAGAGGGTGAGGAGGCACGAGGACAGGTTTGGAAACTTCTTGAACCACACTGAGGCACCAGCAGTGAGATGTGAGCTGAGTGCAGCCTGTGAGCATCTGCTGCTGTGCTGGGATTGACTGGGAGGCTGGAGCATCCCCACCAGGACTGCAGCTCCTGGTGTGGTGGGCAGCCCACCCTGGAGCCCCCTGTGGATTAGATGGAGCAGTGAGGTCTCTTGGGTGAAGCTGAGCCTGCAGGAAGCTTCTAGAACCTGTTCTACAATAGTGTTGTCAGGTTTTATCTCCTGGATGTGGTGACTGGAAGAGACAAGCGCAGATGGGTGGTGGCTGCATCGGTTTAGGACGTCACCAAAGCGTGCAGGTGGCATCAGGTGTAGATTTGACAGAAGAAATCTTTGCTGAATGTGGAATCCAGGTGATTTGTTCCCTGGGCTGTGGGTTGTTCTAAGTCTGTCATGGTTTCTTGCTGCACTGATAGTTCCAGAGAAACTTAAGGGGAAATTTATTAACTGTGAGGGTGCCGGAGCCCTGGGACAGG